AGCCAGTTTGTCAAAAATGGTCTCTTTGATAATTTTTTCCAAGATCTTCCCAGGGATAAAGGTCAAGCTGATAGGCCTGTAGTTCCCCAGATCTACTTTCTTCCCTTTCTTGAAGATAGGCACCACATTGACCTTCTTCTAATATTCGGGCACGTCACTCGAGTGCCACGAGTTCTCAAAGATCTGTGCCAGGGGCTGAGCTATGATCTTTGCCAGCTCCGTAAATACCCTGGGTGTAAACTGTCTGGGCCAGATGACTTGAAGGTGTCCAGACTCTCAAGGTGTTCCTTTACATAGTCTACATTGATGTAGGGTAACAATTCTCCCTCACCCTGGCCATCATATTGACCAGGGCCATGCTTTGGGGCTGGTGAAAAACTGATGCAAAACATCCATTAAGCGGGTCGGCTTTTTCCTAGGTGTCGGCTGTCAGTTGTCCTATTTGGTTTAGCAGGGGTCCAATGTTACCCTTGCTTTTTCTCCAGCTCCCCACATATCTGAAAAAAGACTTTTTATTTTCTTTGATACGTGTAGCCAGCTGGAATTCACTCACAACCTTGGCTTTCCTGGTTCACTCCCCACAGCTCTGGACCAGTGCAGTGTACTCATCGTTTGGGGTGGATCCAGCCTTCCATCCATTATTGGTCTTTCTTTTTAGATGCAGGAGGTCCACAAGCTCCCTACAGAGCCAAGGGGGCTGCTGTGCCCTTTTGCTACCTTTCCTCTGAGATGGGATAGACATTGCTTGTACTTTCAGGATCGCTCCCTTAAGGAGCAACCACTCAGCCTAAACTCCCCTCCCCTTTGGGTCACGGTCCCTTAGGGCCTCACCAACAAGCCTCCTGAGCTTGTCAAAGTCAGCTTGACTGAAGTTGAGGACTTCTACATTGCTGACTGACTTACCAGCTTTATGGTGGATAGTGAAAGTGATTAGCTCATGGTCACTGTCTCCCAGCTTCCCCTTGATCATTAGGTTGCTGACTAGATCATCCCCCATTGCCAGTACCAGGTCGAGCAGCACTTTGCCTCTTGTCGGTCCATAGACTTCTTGAGTCAGATAGAGCTCGTCCACGCACATGAGGAAGCTTAGTTGTCATGACCCAAAGGCATGATTGTGTGTGTGCTTCGGCAGCAGAATTATCCCCGCCAAGTTGCAGAGCATTGCACGGGAGAGTTTCCTGTAGCAAGAGGAAACCCCGGTGCAGGGACGAGTTTCCCGCCTTTTCTGCAGCTTCCTTTGCAGGGTGCATTGCTCATGTTGCGAGAGGAATGCACGGTGCAAAAGAGTTCCCGCCACCGGTATGCAAATTTGTTCCCCGTGATTGGCTAGTGCTAA